GGCAGCACAAGGCAGCAAAGGTATTTTGAGCACATCATCAGTTGTGGCAAACAGGTCTAATTAAAGAAAGAGCTGGTGTGGTTAGAAATAGGAAGGAGATTTTCAGGCTAGAATTACATGCAAGTTTTAGCGGATCAATATCGAGAGAAAAAGAAACGGGTAAGTGATTTAGTGATTACCGATACGGTTCGGTTTTTGTCTTTCTGCTTTCCTTCTCTCGCTTGGTCAAGGGAACCCTCTTCCATAGCATACTCCAATCCCACGCTCCTCTAGCAAACCCATCTTCGTCACCACCCCCTTGGGGCACAATCTTATAAGTGTTGCCGTCTATGACATCTATAAGCGGCACAGTGCATGTGGTTCTGCAGGGCGGCGGGCGGTGGCAGGGAGGATGCGGTTATGGGCAAGGACCCGCGTGGCACACGTGCACCGACCGTAGTTCGTGGGAAAAGAGGCGGGAGGGGGGGAAAAAACAAAAGGGTTTAGACAAGTATCCGTTACGATTCACAGTACGTAAACAGCTCTCTTTACCGATAAGGCTCAGTTTTATGTTTTCGTTTGGACTTTTCCTTGTGGCTTAACGGAATTCGTTTCCACAGCAAACTCCAGTCCCAGGCCCCTCTGGCAAAACCATCTTCATCCCCACCTTGTTGTGGCTCAATGGAATAATCATTCCCATCTATGTAATCTATTAGAGGTACAGTACATGTAGTTCTGAAACATTTGTAGAAGGGAAAGAAAGAGCAAAATACAATTTCAGAAATCTGTCTAATCTGAAATTCACACCATTAATTATTAAGCTTATAGAGCAGTTTATATGAAAAGTCACTTGTAAACATATTCTTAAAAAATAAAGCCTCATTAGAAGAAAAAAGAGATAGTCCTTTATGTTGTCTTAAGAGGCTCTGAAAGCAGAAAAGTTGGGTCTGAAATGCTAATATATCAATTTGTTTATCAGCACTTTTTCCTTTATGTGTACTTCTCGACATCGGCCTTCTAATAAAGCACTGCTGGAGAAAACAACGGAGCCTTTGGAGGGCTAGGGCTCTCACAGCATCATTATTTCCCACAATTTCTATTCATATCAGATCTTAGCTGTCAACAAGTATGATAAGCTCTTTGCTTTTACTAGTGTAAACATGGATTTTCACTATTCTGCCCATTCAACTGCACCGCAAATCCAACCTCTCAGGATAAAATAACTACTGGTGCTCTCCTAGCAGCAGTCCTCCGTAGAATGTTTCCTGTTTGATTTGCAATATGTTCCTCGTTGTGATCTATCACATACAACATTCACCAAGGAGAAGACGTTATCTTGTTATTCTCCCAAAATTTTCCAAATGAGTTTCCTGTTCACCAAATCTGAGGCATTTCCATTTTTTTAAGTGAAATCCTATGAGACAGAAAAATATGAGGAAGGAAAACAAATGCTAACACTGTGCTCTTCCCTGAGGCAGAAGCGGCAGCACGCTGCGCCCAGGGGACCAGGGCTTGGAAGAAGGCAACCCCTGGTCCTCCTGGACCCCCCTGCTTCTGCCGGCCGTGCTGGAGAATGCTTCTAAGGTTGCCTGCTTGCACCAGCCATCCTCGTGTGAAAGAGAAACACATGCTCGATGGCAGCACACGAGCATTTCCATCTTCTCTCCAGTTTACATCTGGGCCATATCCTGGCCTAATTAGTGTCTTGAAGCTGAGTAACAGCCTTTAAACCACACAAAACCCACGTCTTCAAGACAGTTCTGGGAGCACGACAGGTTAACAAATAGTTTTCAGGATTAGGCAGTTATCTTCTGGGATTAAAGAGTTTAAACAAGCACAGGGTTTCCTAAACACACGTGCTCCCTGACCACACAAGCCAAGAGCACGGCAGCACACACCACCAGCAGCATTTCCACAGCTGGAAGCAACGAAGCCCCCAGGGCTCCTCTCCTCTGCCACCCCTCGCAGCTCCCACGTTTCCACCGCCCGCTGGCGCCCGGGCCCATGGCAGAGACAGGCTCGAGCCCTGGCCTCGCTTCGCTGCAGACAACGCTGCAAAACGCCTCAGAGGAAACAAACAAGACATGTTGCAGGACCAAAGATGAGAAAATTATAAAACTCTTGAGATCACGGGGCCTTTAAATCCCCATTAAATCAAAACACTCACTGCTACTTTTCCTCTATCAAAAATCATGTTTTTGTTTAGTTATTTTTGTTTCATCAGGCTCCTTGTTCAGCCAGAACATTTTTATAACAGTCCCTCAGATCACTACAAAAGACAAGAGTTGTCTTGTATTTAATCTATACTAAGAGCAAAATATTCAGTATGCCTATTAAAGTAACCGATCTGGAGATTTATTTGCCTGACTATTTTCCTTCCTCCCTACACAGCTTTTATGCTGGGAGATAATAAAATCATTATACAGCATGTATCGATACAGTTTGATATAGATACATATTGATACAGATATAAAACATATTGACTACGGTTTGAAAAGGGAAGATTGTTACTGTGACTTTTTCTTCCTAAAAGGCCAGACGCTGGAAATAACGGGAGAACATTACCTGTCCTTAGATATAGGAGCTATAAGTGGCGCATACCAATTAATTCCCACCTCACAATGGGCATCAAGGTAAACCAAAACCTTCAAAAGAAAACAAAAAAGTCATTTATATTTCTGTATACGAGATCATGATGATTTCATTAAGCTTATTTACATTGAAACACTTTCATATTATAAAGAATCAATGAAGCTTAAATAAGTAAAATTGATCTATTTCAAAAACAGTATCAATAATACAATACTAAGTTTCTACACATCTATTTGAACATGGAACCACCACCCAAAATAAAAAAGACAGACTTGTGTGTGAACCGGCTCCTACCTGTCCAAGTTTAGCCTTCTGGGCTCCAATGCTCCTAGCCTGGATTAAACCTTCTCTCCTCTCATTTCGAAACACCTTTACAAGGCCGTTCCACTGCTTAATATACTCATCCAGCCTCTCTTTTAAGTGCGCTATCAAATAACAACAACAACAAAAAAATTTGGTGAGGTTTAATAATAAACCGTGTAATAATAAACAGTGCTTTTAATACAACCCAAATCCAATTTTACTTAATGTCTACAGACATTGAAGAGACTCTAACTCAACAGTTCGTACTCCTGCTCACAAACACTAAACCTGAAGAGATGAAGCCTTGGAGCTCCCCGACTTCACAGCACAGGTTTGCCTCTGGCATACCTGAAGAACAAGCAGCTGAAGAGGCTGGCCACGCCACAAGGGAGCCAGGTGGACAACTCCCAGTCACTTCACCAGATCACACAGTGGCTTTCAGGTCTTCGCTTGTATTTCAAGCAGGCGGAGAAGCTTCTACACTTCAGCATGCGGTCTTTCCTCGTCAGATAATGTCCCATGTACAGCTGAAGGCACCACTTTCCAGTTCAACATTTCTCTTCACTCACGTTCTGCCTCACCACATTTTCTGACAGTCTATTAAATCTGGCAACCCGAGACAGAAACCCAGCATACTCAAATTACTGCCCTCCCTCATCTAGACCTCTTCCCTCTTGGGGCTGGGGTGGTCATACACTAATCTTCTAATGAAATGAATAATAAGATTAATCGGAGGGACAGACCTGCAGTGCATGAGCTGCGGCTCATCATACTGATGAGACAGGAAACCTTTGGCTGAAGGGACTCGGCCAGTAAAGGGACGAGTAACCACGTGTAAATCAAGATGGGCTACGCTTAAATGGTTACAGACTTGTCTTTGCACACTGGTCTTTGCCAAACTAATCTGGAAAGCACATTCCTACCACATAGTTCAAAAAAAGGATTCTAGTGTTGCATAATATTTTTGCACAGATGATTCTGTTGAGAAAACTCACAAAGGCAGAAGGGCTGGCAGGCAGGCGCTTGCTGTTTCAGGCTACGCCGATTTAACTACGGGTGCTCATTTCAAATCTATTTTTGTACTGAAAGGCTCGAAAGAATTGCCTACAGCTTCAGTTTCTCTCAGTTGGGAACCAAAACAAGCCGCCTAAGCTACAGCCGAGGCATCCATGCCCTGGTTTGCAGCAGCTCCAAGGACTGCCCAATGCCATGCCGGCGCGGATCTGACAGGAGAGGGGACGTGCTCAGCCGGAGGGAGAAGGATGGGAGGAGGATTCAGCAGCAACAAGCTGTCAGGTTGCTTCAGCAGCAACATGTTCCACACCCTGAGTGAAAATGATTGAAGTCTGGAGCTTACTGCAACCTACGTTTCATTATGTGTTATATTCTTGCCAACGGTCTTTAAAAAAATCTAGTTTAAACAAAAGCTACATATAAATAACTGAAATGGAAATGGTGGTTTTTGGAAGCAAAGATTCCAAGCTTGAAAATTCAGCAATTCTACCAAAGAACAATCTTCTGAAACCACTATCTTTTAATACTCTTAGTATCCCTCCTCTTCACCTTCATAAAAGAGTAAGTTTTCTCAAGTAAAAGTTTTAGGTATCCTCTCCTCCTTTCCCACACACATGTACAATTTCTTTTGCAAGTCCTTGTGCATTAGGAAAACTTCAAGGATACATAAATATCAAACTACAGAAAGAACAATTTTATCACATATGCTGTATAGAATAACATGCCATGTAATATATATAGAATGTATGATACGATACGATAGCTGTGATGTAAATTTTTATAGGATAAAATCAACAGAGTTATGAGGTCATACTGAAGTGGTACTGAGAGAATCTTTATACCACACCACTATTTATTCTGCAAATCCCAAGTACATTTTGCAGAAGGACTGTCACGAATGTTTTAAAGATTTAAAACCTGAAGTTCTTTCCAGCTCTCCTGCCTATGAAGCCAAATGTTTTAGTTATCAAATGTTCAACTACGTAAGGCTCACAGGGAGCTGTAAAAACCTGTCATATTGATTGTGTAAAGCTTTTCTACAGTACAAGTCTCAGGACTTTGCAGTCCATTATCTGAAATGGTGCCAGGGTTAGCAGCAAGTGCTATTTCCCACAGGAAAATTGAATTTTCCCTCCTCCCCCCACTACAAAGCCTGCATGACAGTAGTGTATAAAATCCTGATACTTTTACAGTCAGAAATACTGTTTGGCCAGCGTTAAATTTTGTTCACCTAGAACGTGTATTTATGATATCTGTCAACAGCCTTACAGCATTCTGGTTTTTGTTTAAAAATGTATATTTTACCTTTCAAAATATTACAACCACCACTCTGGTCTTCCCTTGTTTGGGTTCTTCTCTCATGTCTCGGGGCATGATTAAAGCAGGAATCCATGTTTTTTAAAAACATGTCCTTTCTCCAAAAGACCTCAGGCATTGCAGATTACAAAGAGGGGGAGGAGGAGGAAAGCATTTTTTTTTCCCTCGACTCCAGGATGTCAGTTTGAGAACTAGAAAAATGATACCAGAAGTCCTCCCTAAAGCAGCTGCCTCTGAGTCGCCTGTTCTGCAACACTACTAACACGGGGCTCTCCGCTCTAACACGAACACTGATTAATCCTTCAGTTTCCACACTGCAAGCACCATTAAACAATTTAATAAAAATGCTGTTACCTGTCTATGTTCATTACTTCCCCTTTGGTTATCTTATGGGTTGCAGCATCAGTGAGAAATATAGATAGTGATGAAGAAAAAATAAGTGAATGCAAAAGGGAGACAAAACCTTTAAACGCTAGTAGGAACACTGGTATTTACCTGGCAGTCCCTCGGTACAGGTGCACGGGCCACAGAAGCAAGCTGCACCAGCTGAGACACTGACTGACCTCTAAGCTTCGGCAAGAAAGCAAGCTGATACCTAAACAGTAGTCACTGAAGACCTATATACACAGCTGTAATTGTAGGGAGCGTCAGAAAATCCAGTGTTATGAATTCTCAGTGCCCTTCCAGAACAGGCGTCTCCTCCACACTGCTAGCACTCACAGCGAAATAAACTGCTTCTATCAAGAAAGACAAGAAAAACTGGGGAAAAACAGCCCCAGGCACAGCAGCATGGCCGCACTGGCACTGGGGTAGAAGCTGCTGCAACACAGCTCGGGCTCTAACATGCATTAATACAGAGGTCTCCGCCGAAAAGAACAGAAATAGCATCATTCAATTAGCTTGGCGTCATCGTCTTGTTACTGTTCCCTTTGTGCTTTGACAAAGGAAACAATGCCCGAGCAGAATTCGGCACGTCGCTCCGCGCAGCTCTCCACAGCCAAACCCCGCTGTGTTTGCAGAAGAGATTAGGGAAGGAAGGGAGAGTGTCGTTCAGTGAAAAGACTGCTCCCAGCTGACGTTATAGAGAGAATTCTAATGAAAAGAACATTTTCCAAGCATTGCAACTGTTCCTCCCTGTCAGGCATAACACACATAATCTTCTATGCAGCTGTAACTCCCCTCTGATGAAAGAGGATTTCTCGTAAAGAAGGACAGACAGGGCTCTTTATGAGCCAGCATTTGGAAGTGTTTGCAACTGCTATGCTCCATTTTAATTTCGTATCGCTGGAGAAGGTGGCAGCTAAGAAATAAGGACAGCCACACTGCGTGTGAGCAAACATCTACCCGGTCCAGCATCTGTGTCCCTCAACATTAGTCTCAAAGAGCTGGGTGGAAAGGCAGGTATGAAACATGCAGTCTGAAAGCAGGTGCGGAAGAAGAAAATCCTGTATCTGTGCTGTGAGCACTGCTTTTATTCTGGCTGAAAAAGCATAAAGCCACCAGCAGCTCTGCTGTGATTAAGAGTGTTTGCGTTTTGCAGCTCTCCTAACAACTGGAGATCTCTTCAGGTGGCTTGGCATGCTCCGCAGCCCGTACTACTTCATGCTTCTCTCTGGGGAGAAAGAAGTGGAGCAAGATTCTACTCTCTCGGCCATTTTTCATCTAGAATACAATCTGAATTATTGAAATTCAGTTAATTATGTTTACCAAGTAATAGCCTAAAGCAGTTTGAAGAATTATTGCCGTGAAACAGTACAGTTGCAGCGAGGTGTTCAGAGCCATTCCAGTCCGTGCTTGTTTTCCAGTCACTCATACATGAGAAAACTGCACTTTGAGCTTGCTTTACTGAATTTTCTGATTGAAGAAAGTTATTTCTTGAATGGAAAACGAAGTGTGGGAAATATAGAGACAAGGGTCTGCTGGATGTTAGGTCCAGACTAGCTGTACCTGACAACCATTCATACATGAGCAGAGAGCGTTAAGTGAAGTTCTGCATTTCAAAACAAATGTCTTGACAAATGCTGCCTTTCTTTAACAATCGTCATATATTGGAAAACTGTAGTATGAGTTGTTATGCCAGACAAATTCATTCCACAGATTACATGTACATAGCACAGAGTCAGCTACAACTCATGTGAAACCCAAGTACTGAGTCCAGCCACCAATAAAAAAACCTGGTAGTTTTCTAGAGACCATCAGTGTCATCATTATTTTATACAGCTAACTCAGTCCTTGAATAGCTGTGAAGGAAAACTGTGATCCTATCTGAAAAGGAAAAACATAGCACATGTCTGCTGACTGAATTATTAAAATTATATCCCTTAGGAGAGAAGATATTTTTGTTTTATAGCATGTGTGCGTATATCTAAGCCAAATTCTCAAAAGCTGTAAAAGGATACAGGAGACTATAATGTAGTGTTCAGTAACTTTATTAGACTATGCCAGATGGACTTCAGTTTACAATACAGGTAACTTTTCCTCTCCTGTAAAACGAAACAAAAAATGATACCTACCTACCTACAGGTATGATGTAAAAATTGTAATAAAATAATTATTGTTAATAGTGATTTATACTCAAAAAAGGCAACCCTGGCTACACCATGAGTTTGGTTTTAAAATTTATAGCGGGTATACCTGCGGAAAACAACTGCTCCTGTGAGGCTGGAACTGGGAGAAGCCCAGATCCCTTGATAAAACGGAGCGTTTCAGAACAGAGTCATCTGCTTTCCATGCCACTGCCCAATTCAGCTATTACAAAAACAAAAAGGAGGGTAAAGGGAATGTACCCTATGCTGCTCACCAGTTCAGACATGCCCAGACTCCTAAAAGCCATCATCATTGTCATCTAGAAGGGACTGTCATCCCGCACATTCAAAGTTCTGTTTTTATCTCTGTGTCTACTCTATTTCTCTGGCAACTTCTATTCAAGAACTATGCTGCAACAAAATCTTGCAGAACGTGCAGCTTTGGTGCACTATTTTGAAATTTTGTTTAAAGTTTAAAACCAGGCAGACTTTCTCTGTATCAATCATCTTCTCTCCCTAGTATACCATTTTCAGTTTGTTTCTGTGTTCGGCCTTGATTTGCATTATTGCTGAAATACCACCATTAAAGGGAAAAAGTCAGTGTACGTTTATAAGAATCACAAGTACATACATCCTGACGCTAAACCAAGACCAGAACATGTATTACAAAGGATGCAGAAAATCTCTGGACTTCTGAAAATGTTGGTATGCAGGACTCCAAGAAAGGCAGACATTAACACACACTTAGATTCTTAAAAGCCCCTCCCCCCAATAAGAACCAATAACCACCTCAACATCACATTTAATTCAAAAAGGATATTGTGAAATTAAAAAGATAATGCAAATGAATTAGAATAGTTCAATAGCCTTAGATACATTTTTATTATAGTGAAAAAAAAAAGAAGAAAGGCATCTGGATTCCTATAAGGAATAAAGACATACTATTCCTAACAGGCTAAACTCAAAATCCTTCAGTACTCTTAAAACTACTTGCTTTCACAAGAGCTAAGAGAGGTACTGGCTATGCCTGCTTTCTGCTCTATACTACTCTACAACTGTGGAAGAGAGCCCACCACAAATCCTACACTTCAAACAGCTCGATACTCATAAAGGATTGCCACCTTTATGAAACCGGTTCATCAGAAAAGAGCTTTCTCCTCACTGAAAACTGAAAGGGCTGTGAAGAAGGAACTTTCTTTTCTTGCAGAGTCAACTCAATCCATGGCAGGTAATAAACCAAAAGAAGACTATTTTTAAAACAAATGAAGTTTCCTTTTCTACAAGTAGTGTGTTAATATTCCAAATATACCTTTGTTGCTAAAATCATCAATCAGCACAATTTCTGCCAAATATTTCCTTGGTGTTCTCTTAATGACACTGTGGACTGTCCTCATGAGCGTGGACCATCCTTCATTGTGGAAGACAATGACAACGCTGGAGGTGAGCAGGTTATCATCATAATGCCAGTATTTGCATCTGTAAAAAGATTTGATTTCATTAGTTTTTAACATTATGATTTACAGATCTGCTTAACAACACCTTTGTGCAAATGAAATCTGCACTGATGGCTATCCTTCAGACTAAAGAGAAATAGGGTGTAAAAAGTTATATAGCTTAAGTGCATCACAGAGGCAGGAGGCCCAACGAGCAGCTTGCTTCCAGACCACGAGCCTTTTTTCCTCCCAAAAGAGGTGGGATGATGCTGCTGAACAACAGCTGCTGCCTCAGCAGCTACCTGCTTCCTCCTGTGCAGGTGGATGGCACCGCACAGACCCCATCGAGAGATGTCCCCACCACCACCACCTCGCTGCTTGCACGGCCTGTAGAGAACAGGGGAAGAAAACCCCCAGACTGTGGCTCCCAAGACAGGGGGTCCTCTTCAAACCATCAGACACCATGATTTAGGACGGAGCGTGCATTCAGCTCACCTACTGCATAACACACAATAAGACCGTGCTGGTTCTTTCTAAGCCTCTTTCAATCAGATTTACTCAGTAGAAGGACTGTCTATGAAGTGTTTCTGTTGGCTTTATACAGTCCACATGCAAAATCTGCATAATTAGCAAAGTTACAAACACTGTTGTGGCAAGGCAATCAAAAGTCATTAACTACTGCCCTTTCACAGTAAAACAGATTTAGTGTTTAGTAAGTAAACTTGCTAGAAGTACTGCAGTATGTGAAATGCTCACGTCAGCTGTTCTGCATAAAACTCTCTCCATTCGCAAAAACTGCCAGAAAAGCATAGCTGCTGATAGGAAAAATGTAATCCCATGGCAGACAAGACGTGATCTTTACTGTTTATTATTCATGATTAAACTTCCAGGTATAACAAACGTCACTAAAAAAAAAAGTTACCAAACTCATTCAGGGTTCCAGCTTGACATGCCATGAAAGGCACTTCTGTATCCACTCAAAATGTTTTGCATCTCAATTTCACTGGACTTCTGTCTGTTTTTCTGAGGTATTACAGGTGATTTAGAAACAAGCAATATGAGTAATTCACTCTGCACTTTCCAATATTTATTAATCACATTTATCAACAATGCATTTCATGTGCAGTTTTAGTGCCCATTTCCCTAACTGCATCCCTAAGCGAGACTCTTCACAGTCCCCCTAATTACAACCAGTCCAGGTCTTTCCTTACCCGGCAGTTTCCCTACCTGATCGCCAGCCCCTTGTCCAACCACAACAACACAATTCCTATCACTGAACCCAGAGACGTAGCACTTTGGATTCCAATGGGCAAAAGACTTCATTTTTTCATCTTCTAGCAAGAAGATGCTACTTCTACTAGAGAGAATCTGACGTTTCAAAGACAACTGTCCGCACACAGATCCCTCTCTAAAGCCTTCAGCCGGTTACAGATCACAATACTTCCATTTGTAGCACAAGCATTTAAGCGGTTGACAACTTAATTCAGCTGTTTGCAAAGATAAAATGGATATGCTACCTAGGTGCGTTAAGTTGGCTGCGTAAAAGAAACATTCTCCATTGTGTGCTTCAAATAAATTAATAACAGAACTGGTTGCTTTACACACATATTCACCTGGATTAATTTTGGTGATAGAGTTATCACAGAATCACAGAATGGTAGGGGTTAGAAGGGACCTCTGTGGGTCATCTAGTCCAACCCTCCTGCCGAAGCAGGGTCACCTACAGCAGGCTGCACAGGACCTTGTCCAGGTGGCTCTTGAATATCTCCAGAGAAGGAGACTCCACAACCTCCCTGGGCAGCCTGTTCCAGGGCTCCGTCACCCTCAGAGGGAAGAAGTTCTTCCTCGTGTTCAGATGGAACTTCCTATGCTTCAGTTTGTGCCCGTTGCCCCTTGTCCTGTCGCTGGGCACCACTGAAAAGAGTCTGGCCCCATCCTCTTGACACCCACCCTTGAGATATTTATAAGCATTTATAAGGTCCTCTCTCAGCCTTCTCTTCTTCAGGCTAAACAAGCCCAGCTCCCTCAGCCTTTCCTCCTAGGAGAGATGCTCCGGTCCCCTCATCACTTTGTAGCCCTGTAGTTATGTTAAAATGGAGGAAAACGGGATGTTATACATTCAAAATCAGCAAGCCAGCTGAACGCCATTTGAGAGCTCTGTAAAAAAGTTAGTGGAAAATAGCAGTACCTATTGCCTTAGAGGAGAAGGCAGCACCTGATGCAGGTTGCACTGTGCCACTGACCTGCACCTTCAGAAGTGTGGCTAGGAAGATTTTTTGCCCTCCAGCTAAAGACAGCCAGCCATGACATTTCATACCTCCTTCAACAAAACAAACAAGGCAAACACTGCAGGGGGAAAAAAAGCCCCAAACCTTTTGCTTGCTTATTTTGCCCATTTCCTGTAGTGAAGGTGAGTCACTTTCAGGGACAAAATGGTGAAGAGCATAAGAATGAAAGACAATAAGTAACTTAACATAATTTAAAAAAAGCCAAACCTATTACAAAAGCCTGAATTGAACAACACATCTGCGAGCAATTTATAAGCACTTTTTGATCTGTATTTAATACATTTTTAAAACATAAAACCAGAGGTCTAGACAGGCTTTTTGCTACATATCCAACTTAATCTCCTCAAACCTGTCAGCACATTTTACTTTTTAAACCTGAAAAATCATGTGTTGCTAAACGTACCATTTGCAAGTCATAAAAAGCAGTACACTTATACCTCTAGTAAGATCACACTTCTAGTTTTTTCCAGAGGCTTTATTTCACTTATTGGACAGTCAACAGACTGAGTCATCAAGCCCATAAACTCCAACAGACTGCAGTAATTCCTACGCACAATCTTGTTTCTTGTCCTGCATTAAGAATTAAGAGGTTTGAAACATAGTAGTTGTTTTAGATATATGTGATGAATGCATATTTTCATCTCTGTGGTGATTTTTCCAAGAAATTAAAACCTTGCTCAATTATTTGAGCGACAAAAATCAGGAGCCTCCGCTCTCCTTTCCCTCTGCATCCATAGGGAAAAAGCAGGCAAGCCCTTCTTCAGCGGAGCAGCACTGACATCCAGTGGCTGGCAAACCAAATACCAGCTAACCATGAACGCATTTTTCTTGCGTTTGAAGCTGAATTTTACAGTACTAGTTTCCCTGTAAATTTTAGGCACCAGAAGAGGTAAACAAAAAGCCTGAATTTCCAGACTCCTGCTTCAGTTTTATAAGATAGGGTCAGGCAGATAGGGGCACCCAGGCAGAAGCTGCAAGCTACTTAAAACTGGCACGGGGCAGATTCAAAGTACAAAAGGGTCCGTGACAAAGAGGATTTAAAGACGTTTCAACCTCTAGCTTCATCCCCTGGGCGCTCTGTCCTGCCCACACACGGTACACGGTGCCCGGTCGGGTGCAGCCTGCAGGCTGACTATGCTGATGTGCTGTGAACTACACTAGCAAACACAAACTCACTTAAAAAACCAAAATATTTTGATTTCTTATTGGTATAGCTGGGACGACAACACACTGCAGTGGGTACGCAGGAACAAGAGCGCAGCGTCCTTAAGCCAGTCTTGTCTCTCGATGCTTCCCATCCCTCCTCCCGACCCCTGCAAAGAGCCCTTGTACGGGGCAAGCAGGAGCAGGCGTGCACAGCGCTGGCGGCAGCGCTGCAGGGACGAGCGGCCCCGTGTGCTCCTTCCTCAGGGGACTCATCGGTGGAAGGAAGCAACACCTCCAGATCAGTCCCTGTATAAAAACCTCCTGCTCCCCAATCAGCACTGGTATTGCTGAGGAAACACGTGGACTGACTCATCAGTGGAGCAAGAAGAAACCTTTCGAAGAACACAGCCGTGTTCTAACAGAGAACAGAGTGAGCAACGCTTCTTCTGACTACAAGCCCGCGTACTTCAGCAGTGAGTTAGTCCCACTCCCTCCCCAGCCCTGGGAGGGAGCGGCACTGCTGGGGACCGCGCCACACCAGTGTCCCCGTCCCTCGATCCCCAGGCTGTGCACCCACCAGAGCAGGAGAGCAGCCCGGCAGGGGGGGACCCCTCTGCACAAGCAGCTGGAGATGTGGGCTGGTGCGCTCCTCAGCTTGAGGAAACCTCTGCTCTAACAGCTTCGTACTCCATTCATCGGTTTGCTCTTGCTGACAGCCCCTGGCCCCACAAAGGTGATCATGGGTATGTACTCCGAGGACTGGATGACCCCACAGCCTCGCTGTTAGCAACCACCGCAGCTGCAGACGTAGGCTCCAAAACCACCTAGGGTAGAGGCTGCTTCTGCTGGAAGAGCAATCAAACCATCAAGCAAAAATGCAAGAAGTGAACAAGGAGAGCACCTCAGTGGCAATTTAAGGGTGAGCCCCAATCAGAGAGAGACTTCACAGGGCATTTTGAGTCCTTGAGCCAAAAGAAGTGCTTCTCATGTCATCCTGGATTCCTAACTTCCGTACCATACCAGTGCCCTTCAGCTCCAGAAAAAAGTAAGAGTTCCTATGGTCACGGTCACAACCAACTCCCTATCCTGACACTAGTCTTCCTCAGGTCAACTATCTCGCTAACAGAGGTTCTGGAAGAGAAGTGAACAGACAACCCAAGAAGGTCAGTTTGAGTAATTTCTCCCCCCATCCCCCTTCAGCAGACAGCAGCAAACCCTCTGTTATGCACTACCCGACAGCTTAAACCTCCACTGAAACAGCATTTCCTCTTTTTACAACAGCTACACGCTTTGGCTATTTCCATTCCTACAGTGGCTGTCAAGGCTATGTGACAAAATTTGTTACCAGTGTCCCTGGAAGCACGAGGTCCATCTCCTCTCATACCTCTGGAAGTGCCATGGTCCATATTCAGGGCAAGGTTTGTACAGCGACCCAATAAAACACGGACAGGATTTACCTAATGTAACAAACAAAAGGCTAGAAAGAAGCCTGGGGAGGTGGGTTCAGCTCCACGGAAATACTTTATTTCTACCGCACTTTGATCATCAGATATTAAACCTTGAAGCTCCTGCGCACGCTCAGCTGGACTGAATTATAACTTATATCATG